AAAAGAGTCTGTGATCACAGAGAGCCAGCATTACTTCATTAAGAACAAGCCGGGCCAGATTAACCTTATTTCCTTTGTTGACAAGATTGCTAGTCTAGTAGAGTAGGGTAATTCTGTATACAGCTTAGTGGATAGAATGCTGGGCCTGGAGTAAGGAAAACTCATCTTCCTGAGTTCAGATCTGGCCATGGGACCTTGGTCAAGTCACTTAACCCTGTTTGCCTCAGTTTCTTCATGTGTAAAATGAGCTGGAGAAGAAAATGGCAAACCACTCTGGTGCTAGGAAAACCCCAAATGGGGTTATGGAGAGTCCTTCATGACTGAAATGACTGAACAACAACAACAACAACAAATTTTGATGTTTGTTTTTAAAAAATACATGAGTGTCACTTTACAATGGGTGCTTTTTCTCATGCCATGGAACCTGCCCTCTCATGGAGTTTAGCTAGGGGAAACAAAATAATACTTTGACTGTGTCTGACAATTTGTTTCATTCCATACCTGGAGACCATAATCTGTCAACTGAGAAGGAAGAGGGCCTGCTTGACCTGAATTTCACTGAAATTATCAGTAGTTACCGTGTCAGTCATAGTTCTGTCGTCTTTCATTATTATATCAAGATTTTAGCAAAGTTTTGATAGAATATTTTTTCTCTTCTTGTGGACAAGTGGAGAGATGTAAGTTAAGTGTAATATAGCTAGATGAATTTGGAATTGTTTAAAAGACTGGACCTGAAAAGCAGTCATCAGTGGTTTGATGTCATCTTGGAATAACGTCCCTGGGAGTTCATTAGGGATCTGAACCATTTGTGGTTGGTCTTGTGTTCAGTATTTTTTATCAGTAGATAGATAAAACATTTATTAAGTGTTTTTATTTTCTAGGCACTGTACTAAGCAGTCGGCTACAAATACAAGCAAAGGAAACAGTCCCTCCCGTAAGGAGTTTGCATTCTAATAGGGGAAGATAATATATAAAGGGGAACCTGAAAGAGGGGGTGGGAGAGCAGTCCAGAGTTGAGTTATAAGTGAAGAAGATGAAGAGGAGCGTAGCTGCGTCTCCTTCTGAAATAGTGGTCAGGGCGGGTAGTTTCCAAGTAGGAGAGGGGGCCTGCAGGTTGGGTAAAGGCTGGCTAATGAGGAGGATGTGGAGACTTGGATTAAGGCATAGATAACATGCTTGTCACATTTGTAGATGATACAGCTGGGAAGGATGAGTAAAACATTGGAAGACAGTCAATTAAAAAAGGCTAGAATATTGGGTCTAATCAAATAATGATGAAATTTAATAGGGATAAATGTCAGGTTTTATATTTAGGTTCAAAATTTTTACTTCACAAATACAAGATTTGGCTAGGCACAACTGGTCAGCAGTTTCTCTGGAAAAGATGTGGGCTTTTGGTCAACTGCAAGCACACTTTGAGTCAATATTGTGGCATCCTGGAAAACTAATATGACCTTAGGCTGCCTTCTGAAGGGCACAGTTGTCCAGGGATAAAGAGCTGATGGTTCTGTCCTGTTCTGCCTTTGCTCAGACTCTATCTGGACTGTTCTAGTTGGTTCTGGGCATATTGTTTTAGGAAGACAATTGATAGAACAGAGACCGTCCAGAGGATAGTGACCAGGAGTTGAGGGCTTTGAGTTTATTCCATATGAGCATTTGTGTTGAAAAAATTGTGAATGTTTAACCTGGAGAAGGGAAGTCTTGTAGGAAACATGCTAGCTGCCTTCCGTTATCTAAGGCATTGTCATGTGGAAAAGGGATTAGATTTGTTCTTGAATGAAAGGTGGAAATTTCAAAGAGGCAAATTTAGGCATGGTTTAAGGAAAAAATTCTTAACATATCTTTTTGCAAATGACATGGGCTGCCCTAGGGATGGTAGTAGCTCCTTCTCATTAAAGGATTTGAAGTGGAGGTTGACTGACCACTGACTTGGAACATCACAGATATGATTTCCTTTTCAGGAATGGGATAGCAGTCAAGCCCCCTTCCACTTAGGAAGGCATAACATTGTCTCTGCACTGGAGAACTGTACCATGTGATTAGGTAGTCAAGACTTGTATAGGAAGACAGGTAACAACAGGGTTAGTGCAAAAAGTGTATTTTGTATAATAAGTGCTAAAGGAATATGTTTGAACTACCAGTTTGTAGCAGTTCGTGGCTTCTGGGCATATGGAGGAAGAGGGTGGGATTTGAAATTATTAATATTAATATAGGTGGTGATAGTAGTTGTAACATAAGTTCTTTGTGTCCTTATACCTCATTCAAATCATAATAAAACATGCCATGAAATTTTTTTGCTTTTATGTAACAAACTTTGTATTGTTTGTATTTTGGTAATTTCATTTGGATACGGTTAATTCCTATAAGGTTGAGGATGTGAATGTGACTTGGGGAGAAGAAGAGAACAGCTAGATTCAGAATCACTTCTCTTCCCATAATTTGAAACATGAAAATTCAGAATTTTCATGAGTTTCTCATTTTGTGAGACAAATTCCAATTCAATTTATGAAATACTTCACAGAACAACCTTTGTTAAAGATTTTGTTAAAGATTGAAAGCCTTAGCTCTGCTGCTGGGTAGTACAGCTCTGTGTTAGCTTAGTTTGTGTTTTGTTTCAATGTAGGTATCAAAATTATTTTTTTCATTAAAAAAAGTATTGATAGTCAAGATTTCTCATTAATTCTGGTGGATCCTTCTAATTAGGTGAACTTAGGAAATTTGAATAGAATATTCCTTGTTCCTGGTGTCTGTACTCAGACTATATACACTAATACTTTGATTATATTTTAACCCCTTCTTCAGAATAACAACTGTGTCTTTTCTTTCTTCTATCCACTTCAGCACTAAGTATAGTGCTAGACATATAATAGGCATTTTAAAAATAAAGAAAATAAGGACATAGACTGCGCTAGAATGAATCTTGGAGATCATGTAATCTAATCTTCTAATTTTATATATAACCAACCTGTTGGGTCCTGGGAGACAGTCTTCCTCTCTTACTAAGAGTCCTGAACTCTGGACTCATGTGGTCTGGTGAGTTCAGTCCTAGGAGAGCCTGGCTCTATAGAGAATGATGAAGATTTTTTTCTTCATTGTCACTGAGTCATTTCACCCCTGCTCCAGAATATAACTCTAGGGAAATATCTTTTAAAAAAAAAATCAGTTTCATTTTATTTTCAACTTGGCATGCTCTACCTCTCCTTCCTCCTCTCTCCATTGAGAAAACAAGAAAAAACAAAACCTGTTGCTTACTTGTATTTGTGTAGTCAAGCAAAACAAATTCTTTGGGGACATGCCTTTTTTTTTTCATACTTTTAAGTTTAATCTGCATTGTTAATATTTTATCCATCACTTTCTCAAATTTAGACAGTCAACAAAACAATAAATCAAGGCCTGGTTGGTTAGCATTTGCTAATTTCTAAGGTGTAAGTGTTCACACTGAAAATTTAACAATGAGTTCTCCTAAGTGGTTGGAGTTAACTCCAGGAAACCCTTTGGGGACATATCTTAAATAAATCTTGGAAATGGTTCATGTTTCTAGGGTCTCCCCAAAAGGGATTAACAGGGTTCCTTCTAGAGAAGTACTCAGTATATTGTAGATCATGTATAGGACAGCTATTTATTTCCTCCATCATTATAAAAATGATTAAAACTTGGTTGCCCATGCCTGTAATTTCCTTCTACTGGAGGAGGCTAGTGGATCATGAGTTTAGGGTTTCTTGTCTATGATAAGGCTAAAGCCAATTAGGTGTCTGCATTAAGTCTGGTACTCCTGTGGTGAGCCCCTAGGAGCTCAGGGCCACCAGGCTGCCAAAGGTGTGAACTGAACTGTGAACTATTAGTAAGGTCTGGCACTAGGCTGTACACTTCAAACTTGGGAGGGATGAGGAGGCCTAATCTCTAAAAAAACCCAAAATGACCCCCCGCCCCAGACTCATGACTGCACATAGACAAAGACTTAAAACATGAAACAGTAACCCATAACTCCTAAAACATGAAATATTTTGTGACCTACTGAACAGTCATTTTATCTTTTTTTTTGACTTTGTACTATCTGTGCAACTTCCTCACAGTTTGTATTTTCTAGCAGTCAGTCATTTATTTAAAGCATTTATTAAAAGCCTGCTAAGTGCTTGACACTGTGCTGAATACTGGAGAATACCTTCCTTTTGGTGGTCATCTTCTCCTTTGAGAAGTGTTGTAACAAACTGAAGTCACCTGGAACCTGTAAATCAGTCCAGACCTCTTGAGTCTATGAGGAAGCCACTGAAGCTGGACAAATCCATCTTGGGACCATTCTTTGGTCACTTGTGCTCGGGGAAAGAAACATAAAGTAGAAGAGGCAGCTAGGATTTTGAAATTAGGTCTCAGGCTCACCCAGATGAATATATGGTCTTCCTGTCATGTGGGAGCAGCTACCATAGCTTGAGGATGGGGAGTCAGAGCCATACCTTCAGAAGAGGAAGAAGGGAAGTAGAAGTTAGCTACCTTTCCCTTTAAAGTCTGAGTGGGCAGTTCTTGACTGCTCAGTGGCCAGTCCTCTTTACTGTGCCCCAACATGAGGGTCAGGAGGCAGTTGGGACCAACCAGAAGCATTTGGGTTTTGCATGCTCTTTAGGAGGGAATATGCCCAGCAGAAAGGGTGAAGGCACACACTCAGATCTCTAGAGGATGCCCTCTAGTCTGGCAGATGGGGGTGAGAGTGTGGAGGGGCATAGTGCTGATTTTCCTCCCTTACACAGAGAGGACAAAACAGACCCAGAGAGGGAAAGTGACTTGCCAAAAGTAGTAAGTAGCAGAAGCAGGTTCTAAATGACCCACTTTGGATGCCAAAGCCAGAATCCGTCCCTACTTTAACAGACTTAGTGAACAAAGCAATCACAGCAATTGCTAAACACTGAAGAGTGTTCCCACTTTATCCCTAACATGTATGTTTTGATTACTTGCTATTCCAAAGACAAAGGTTAAACTTAATGGAGGTTTTTCTTTACCATTTGCAGAATAAGGAAGATGAGGAACCAAAAAGTAAACACTTCAAAGAAGAAGAAGAAGGAGGGGAAAAACACAGGTAATAGATTTTTTTTCGTTTGCTTGTTTGTGATATATGGCAATGCATGATATATGTGACCAGTGACCTTTTGTGTAAGTTGGGGCAAAGCATTCAGACGATTTAAGCCATGTTATGATCTACTAAATGTTCTCATTTCCCTCCTTCCCACACTGACAGTGTGTATTAGAAAGAGCACTGTAATGAAATCTGGAGGCCTGGGTTTTAATCTTTGTTCTACCATTAATGAATTGTGTGACCTTAAGCAAATAATTTCATTTTTCTGATCCTTAGAGCAGATGATCTCAAAGGGATCTTTAGTTTTAATATTCTGTGGTGGTAGAGGTGAGTGATGGCAGTGGCCTGAAGAGACAGTACCTATTTAGAAGATTTGGTTTTGCATTTTTACTTGTTTTTTTTTCTAGACCTGACCCAGTTTCTTTATGCTCT